AAGGGGGTAAATCTGAAATACATTCCTAAATTTTTTTCAAAAAAATGTATATCCTTATAACTGTGTTTTACAAAGGAAAACTAAAGAGCAAAGAAAATAAATAATTATATTAAATAATTCTAAAGGACTGCTTTCTGAAATAATTATCTTTTAAAATAAAGGATGTATGGTCATTCTAGGTCAGGGTTTTTCAATACATGCTACCGGTGGTACATTGGCATCTGATAGGTGGTACGCGGCCCTGCCCAGCCCAGACAAGTGTTAACGGGGGGGGGAGGGAACGAGCCAAAGCGGCGCAGCGCAGGACTTGCTGTGAGAGAGTCCTCAGGAGCTGCAGGGCTGCTGGGGCAAAACAAAGGCCCCAGGATAGGCACTTCCGGCACATCCGGAAGAGAAAAGAGTAGGAGAGGGGCAGAAACAGGAAGGGATATAAAAGGAGGCAGTTTTGGCGGGAGCGGGAGATTAAAAAAAGGCAGGGCTTTTCTCAGTGAAGCAGAGAGAGAGAGAGAGAGAGAGAGAAAGAGGAGGAGGGGAGGGAGGGGGGAGGGAGGGAGGGAGGGAGGGAGGAAAGGCTTTTGGAGAGGCGTGTGCATGAGAATGGAAAGGATTTTGGAGAGATGTGTGCGTGAGAAAGAGAGAAAGGCTTTTTGTGAGAGATGCCATGAGAAGAAAGGGAGAAGAGAAGGAAGGAGATGCGAATGAGAAAGAGGGAGGGAGGGAAGGAATCTAACTCTAACCCCCTCCACTGGAGACCCCCAGATCTCTCCCACAGGCGCCTGACCTGAGCGACGTACAACTGGCCACACAGCCCCACTCCCCCTCCCCAACAGTAACCACAATGCTGATGTGGCCCTCAATGAAATCAAGTTTGACACTCCTGATATAAAAGGACGAGGGGGGAGAGAGGGGAGGATGTAAAAGGAGGAGAGATGAGAAATTTATTAAATGAGATTTGTCCCATTTTACGACTTTTCTTGTCACATTTGTTAAGTGAATCACTGCAGTTGTTTAATTAGTAACACGGTTGTTAAGTGAATCTGGTTTCCCCATTGACTTTGCTTGTCAAAAGGTTGCAAAAGGGGATCAGGTGACCCCGAGACACTGTGACCATCATAAATATGAATCACTTGCCAAGCATGCAAATGTAAATCACATGACCCTGGGGATGCTGCAATGGTCATAAGTGTGAAAAATGGTCATAAGTCACTTTTTTCAGTGCTGTTGTAACTTCGAACAGTCACTAAGCGAACTGTTGTAAGTCGAGGAGTACCTATACTTTATCACTTTTTTCCTTTTTTGGGGGGGGTCATCAGGTTTTTGACACCTTGCTAGGCGGCTGGTGGTACTTGAATGTTGCCATATCCTAAAAGTGGTACAATTGGTGAAAAGGTTGAAAAGCCCTGCTCTAGGTATATTAAGCTTCCAAAAGATGCAATACACCCAAAATGAATCGCCCTTTCAGTATTATTAAACCAGATCAACACTTCTAGTCATTGAGGCCTGAGGCAGACTGAAAAGTTTTTTAAAAGGTATAGTTTCAACCATTAAACAGTTCCGACTCTTTGCATTAAGATGAACATCATTTTAAGGGGTGGGGGGGAAACAGGAGAAAGAGTGGGTGAAGCCCGCTTGTACCTTTTTTTCCTGTAATCTACCTCAGAATAAAAAATAAAAGTCATGCTGGTTTTGCAGTTTTGCTTGACCTGTGGTGTGTGTGTGTGTGTGCACGTGTGCGTGTGTGTATGTGTAACATACCATTGTGTGCAAAGATGCGTCCTTGTGCCTTGCTGTTTCTAAGATGGGCTTTTGTGGGGAAGGATGCCGGCACACAACAGCAGACCCTATGGGGGAAAAAAGACTGTTGGAAAGAGCAAGTTTTCCCTCCTTTATTATCTCCATTGTAAGGAAAAGCCATCTCAAAGTGGAGAGCACTGAAAATAATCTGGAGAACCCAGGCAATGAGCATTTCAGGCTGGTTTCTTCCTGCCAGGGCTACTGCCAGGCACAAGGGCTACTATTAAAAGATATAAATTCAATAAGTAAATATGTCCATGTGACTTTGGGTTTAACCAAAATCTGCCCCTCTGGGGCGGAGCTGAGATGCAATTTAGGAGTGGCATTTTGTGTTTAAATCCCATGTGAACAACCCTTCTTTTACTCATTCCAAGTTCCTCCTTGCTCTTACGAAAAACCTGAAGGTAAACCAAAGGAGAAAGAAAGAAGGAAAAGATCCCAATTACCACATGTGCCAGTTAGTACCTTAAGGCATGATAAAATATGGGTTAGTTGCCCTCACAAAGATTCATAAACATTCATATCGTTGATCCAAACACACAACACATTTGAGTGTGCTTCATTTTATTCTGCATATCCAGTCTGCTGGGGGGGGGGGAGATAATGCTTAGGGCTAGCCCTGAAAGGACCATTTTGCATTGCATATAACATGTATACAGTACCGAGAGGCCATACGGCGCAGGGGTGAAGTGTTAGACTAAGAGAGAGGAGGCCACGGTTTAGCCATGAAAACCCATGAGGTGACTTTGGGCCACTTATTTTCTCTCTTTCAGCCCAACAGGGCTGCTGTGTGAGGGCCGCTAAGAGGAGGGAGTGCTACACATGCTATCTTGAGCACCTTTAAAAAGGGGAAGTATCCAAAAATTAAATAATAGTGCCATTTGGGAGGATATGTCTTCTGACTGTTTGGCCACCAGGTTGGTAGGCTATAAGAGGCCAATTGGGAGACAGAGGTAGAAATTCTGCCCCCTTTAAATATGCTACTATTAAAGAAGTTTTTGCTGCTCCCAGATTCTCCATATACATCTACAAACCTATATGTTTTCTCTTAACATCAAAGCCTACCACATATGGGAAAATCCACACATCTGCTGCTTCACCCTCTCATTGCCACTGATTGCACAGTAGCCAATTACAACCCCCCCCCCAGTGATACCCAGATGTATGTGAAATATTGGCCCTAGTAGTCCCAAAAGTGCCTTTCCAAAAGACAACTGGACTTGAAAATGTTTTGCTCCTCATCCAAGAATCTTCTTCAGTTCTCTCTTTAGAAGCGAAACGTCTTCAAGGAAAAGAAACAAGTCCAGTCGCCTTTTGGAAAAGCACCTTTGAGACAACCATGACTGTCCTAGATGACTGAGACTCTCCACAGCAGCCTCAGAGAATAAAGTTTTGAATTTCCCATTGCTTCAGGTATGGCTGAAGCACCTTCTTGAATTGGCCTGCTGTGATCTGTTCTCCCAAGCTATGTATCCTGTTGCAAGGGGGAGGATACCAACCAGTTTCCCATAAAATGGAATCCTTCCTTCCCAGGAGAGGTGTAGTGGCATGGAGGCAGATCAGGGAGGATCTGCATAGAGTGCTAGTTGCACTATGGCAGAGCTCATATCACATAAGAAATGGTTGGAACGGTATTCTTGTGATCTGGTGTGTTAGCAGCTGAACTGGCTGTTTTGCACTCCAACAGCTCTTCCCCAGAATTATCTTTTTTCCTTCTTTCCTCCCCCCCCTTCTTTCTCGACTATTGACTGGAGCACCTCACCCCCCTCACTGCGAGAGACAAAATACAACACATTGTCCTTCTTGTCCTGGAAAAATGAAGCATTATATAGTCTATATCACCAATATTTGGAAGTGGAATTTGTGGTATGTAAGCAAATTTATCAGTCCAATGAAAAGATATGGCAAGATTGTGGTTCTCTGGGGGTCTGTCCTTTCTGAATTTTTCTCTTCGCAGTGGCAAAAGGAACCCGTTATGGAGTCATATTTTTTAAAGATTATGTTGGAGCATATGCACAAGGACAGTGATGGCTCAAGTGCTCAAAAACTGGCTCCCCCCCGCTCCCCCCCCAGCCCTCTGCTCCACCTGCCCGAAGGGCCACTCACCACCTCCAGGGCCCACCGCAGATCACCCAGGCAGCCCAGCAGCGCCATGGTGGCCACACCCTCTGCCTATGCCCTGCACCATCAACTGTGCGTGATGGGGCGTGAGGGCAGTCTTGTCTACGCTGCCTGGCTGCCATGTCCTTGGCTATGCTGCTCCGCGTGGGCCACACTTGGGGGCGACTCTCCTCCAGGGGGGTTGCTGGTGAGGAGGGGGTCATGGGGAGAGACGAGGCTGGGGCAATGGCATGTGTGCCCACAGAGAGGGTTCTGAATGCCGCCTCTGGCACATGTGCCATAGGTTTGCCGCCACTGCACTAGGATACCCAGGAAAAGCATTGTTTGAATTTTGATTCATCAGATAGAAGAATAGATTTGGAAGGGACCTTGGAGGTCTTCTAGTCCAGCCGTTTCTTATCCTTCCCTCTGGTGCTCTGGTGAACAGCTTGACCCTCTCTGGCTTGTGGCAGCCCCTCAGATACTGGAACCCTGCTATCAGGTCTCCCCTATTACTTCTTTTCTTTAGACTGGCCAAATCCAAGTTCCGCAGCCATTCTTCGTACGTTTTGGTCTTCAGGCTTTCGATCATCTTAATTACTCTTCTCTGAATTTTTTCCAAATTCTCAACATCTTTTCTGTGATATGGTGACCAAAATTGGCTGCAGTATTCGAGGTGTGGTCTTACTAGGGCTTTATAAAGTGGTACTCGTACTTCGCGTGATCTTGATTCTATGCCTCTGTTTATACAACCCAGGATTGTATTAGCTTTTTTGTTTGCCCTCTGCACACTGCTGGCTCATAGTCAAGTGATCGTCCACTAGGACTCCAAGGTCCCTCTCACAGTTACTGCCTCCAAGCCAGCTCTTGCCCAATCTGTAGTTGTACCTTTGCTTTTTGCTGCCTAAGTGTAAGACTTTGCTTTTCTCCATATTGAAACTCATTTTGTTGGATAGGGCCCATAGATGCTGTTCCTCCAGAAAAGTAAATATGCTACAGATTTACTTAATCACATGGACCAAGAGAGGTAAAACGTTCCAAGAGACAAATAGAACTGGAGTCTGGTAGAGGAAATAGGAAAGGAAAATAAAGAAATCAACAATGAATGAATTTTGTTGAAAAATAAATTTATTTACAGGGCAGGATCCCAGAAAGTTTCATCATAAAAATAAACAGGATCCAAACCCCAGTGCAGAGGTAACTAGAGAGGGACAGATCCCTATCACCTCTGGCTCAGGGACCAAGACCAGTTCAACAATGAAGAGAAACAGGGAAAAGAAAACATTTCCCAGACCATCTTGTAGGATTTCCTCCACGGGAACAAAATCCCAACAAAATATCTACTTCAACCAAAAATGTTAAATCCCTGGATTTTGCCCTGTTCTTTTCACATTATCTCACCAATCCCTGCTACACTCTTGACAACTCAAAAGTGTCACTGAGAAAGAAATTCTGAATATCACAGACTCAGCATGTTCAAGTGAGAAAGGCAAAAAAAGACACTCCTGGTTTTTAATATATGTTAAGATACACTCTCTTGCTATAAATTAAATCAAATATTCTTGGAATCGGTTGTGCAAAGTATCCCATTCAGAGCCTAGGAGGGAATCATTTTCCCCTGACATTCTCCCAATTAAACTTGGAGGCTACAGTCACATTTCTATGGTCAAGCATAAGCCTGAAATATGTGGATACACATTCCCATCAAAGTATTACAAAATGATACATCAGGCCTTTTTCATCAAGAATGGCCAGGCCAAATTAATGCAGGCCAAATTTATTTTATTCAAGCCCTGTGGGTGTTGGAGACCTTCCTATCTTCTTAGTCCCATCTTTTCAAGATCATCTAAAAGCAGCCTCTTGAAAATATAAGACCAAATGCAAACTGAAAGGCTTGCCGAAAGTAGACAGCACGTGAAATGGAATGAAATAAAGTCATGGTGCTTTATATAGAACTGAGAAATAATATTTTTCCTGGATTGTACTCGTGTACACAGGAATCTCCACCATGACCAGTTCTCTAACACTACCACTTTGATTCCATTAAAGAACATACAACTGATGTACCAGTTGTGCATTGCAGAAAAATACACTTTATAATGAAAGCAAAACATACTCACAGCCGCAACCCAGTGTACATTCCAGGAAAAAAATGATACCACCTGATTCTTTCATGAGGAAAAGCAAACCTTCATGGCTCTTTAAAATTAAAGATACTGTGGTATTAGCTCTTTGGGATGAAAGTTCATTGACATTAAATTTGGTGCCCCTGGTCCATAACAATAATAAAATTTTAATGTGCTTTAAGATTCCTGGTAGAGACTGGGCACTTATATTTGTCAAGTGAAATAATTTGATTTATAATTTTGTTTTTGCTTGATTGTTTTATCGTACCGGTACAGACTTGGATCTTTGCTGGAAGAGGTCAGACTTCAGTATTAAATAAGTGGATTGTTTTGAAATTCACTAGCCATACATAGGAGATTGACTCTTCGCTTATTTTCCAGATTACTTTTAGGACTGTCATTATCTTGAATGAATAGATATCCTGTTAACAATTTCAGGACAAGGAAGGCCACTCAACATCCTACTGGCAATGGCACCTGCTCATTCCTGCCTTTTGTGCACTGTCAAAGAATTCCTGCCTCCATTTATAAAAATAGTGGCAACTTTTCCTATTAAACTTACTCATTTCGAAACGTTGGCCAGCTGGCAACTAGGGCTTCTGCAGTTTTTAGCCATTATGTAGAAATAAGTATTTCTCACGGGTAACTTAGATTCTCTCTTCTACATCAAAAGCATCCTCCCTTTAAACATCATCTTACAAGAGGACAAAGTGTAATATTTCTTGGCTATAAAAAATCTTGTCAAAGAATCACACTCAAACCAATCGTTTGAGAAATGTGAGGAATGCTATGTATTGTGCATTTTAGGATTTTACTGGAATGGAGAGAAAATATACTTTCATGCTCATCTGATCTAGAAGGACAGTTCCTGATTTAAACTGGGGTAGTATTTTAAGGCTGCTGCTGCTTCTCTCTCATTCAACATTTTGCCAAGCAGATACAGTACACAGTTCATTAAAGTCCTTCATCTTTTCACCATGGTGAAAGTATAAAAGGATCCACATCTACTGCCTTCACCCAGTTCAATTAAAAATTTTGGAAGCAAACCCATGGGTTTCAGTGGATTTGAAAATCATGAAATCTTGAAAGATTCCCATTTAAGATGAACTGATCTTTGTGGTTAGGATACTATCAAATTACAATTATTTTTATTAATGTTATTTGAAAGACATCAAGCACTTCTCAGAATAAATTATCTAAATTATCTGTTTTCCCTTTTTTTTTTTAAGATAAAGGAATCCATAGCCCTATGAATCCTGAAGAGTTACTTATGGAAGGAATATAAATATATACCCATGTATCTGTATTCTGGATATATATCTTTTTATTATAGATCTCTGTAAGTGTCTATGTGCTTCTGTGTGTACAATGTTTGCAATCTTCTTTAATAGTCCTTTTGCAATTACTCCTTGAACATGCCGCCATAGCAGGGATACCTTTGTTGTATGTGTCAGCACTAATATATGGCTACAAAATATTGTCTTACTTTAGCACAAAGTTTCTGAAAGCTGCACAAGTTGAAGTGAGGAAAGAAGCCTAGGACCCTAATGCTACTGTTTGGCTCTGGGAGCCACACCCTCCTAAGCCCTATTAGGACTTTCAAGCAATTAACCCTGAAGATCAAGCGTCAGGATGGAGGGTGCCGAAGCAGCTATTTGTCCTAGACAAGATACTTGTAAAGCTACTTTGCTGGGTGCTCTCAATAAAACTGGGCAAGCCCAAGTGGCACCTGCATGAGAAAAAACAGAGGTTTAATGTGGAAAGCCAATGACTTAAGAAAGCAACCATACTCAAAGGGTTGAAACATTTGTATCGGCTTCCACATGGCTTGACCAAAGGTCAATAATGGCTTACATGACTTACTCATTGTTTGCATATGGTGTACTCAAAGTATAACCACATTTCACTTACAGTTTACAAGAAACAATGTTTGCAATTTTACTAATGGCTACTCATGGCTTGCATGTAGGAAGGCTAAAATAAAACTGAAGATTATTGTATGAAAGTACACTGCAGATCCATTACAATGCGAATACTTACTCTTGATGTACTAGTGGCATTACATAAATGTGCCACAAAATAACTCTTTGTTCATTTTTTTTACATATCAGCTTAAATGCTTTGTCCTGTCACAATATAATCTTTTCCATCTGTTTTGCTGAATAGATATATGTAAGTACAGCATGCCTGCATGTATGTGTGTATACATATATATGTATATATATGTGTGTGTGTATATACACGTACACACATACATATATGCATGCATGCTGTGCTCATAGTTTACTCTAAAGCACAGTTTACTGATACACAAATCACATATGATTTACACATGATTTGAATGGTAACACTCATGAATTGTACCTGATTGTTTTGCAGATTGCTGATTACACAACATGCCTAATTTATTAAATAAAACTGTAAACCGCCTCTTATAAAGCACTTAAGATTTCTCCCAGGAGGACACAATATGGAAGTGCAACAAAAATATAGACATCATTATTATTAATGCTACACAACAGGATGATTAAAAATAAACTGTATTTTTCTGGCTATAAACTTTTGTTTTTGAAGCCCTCCCAAATCCAGTTATCTAAAATATTGTTTAAATCTTAAACCGCCTACCCAGTTTCATTTCTTTCTTGCCAGAATAAATTCAGGCAGACTAGCTTAATTCCCTATGAAATCAGATTCTATCCCATCACTCCAAAATTACAGCAGAGCCCTATTGGGCATAAATGTAGCATATCTTTTAAACTCGTTTCTACACCAATCACACAGAAAAGTTGGAGCAGGGAGTGAGTTAAAAGCAAGTTGGCATATAGATGGTGAAATCCTGCTCCTAGCTCATCTCTCTGCAGTCAGTTTCCCAGGTAATTTAATTAAAGGTTTACATACTGAATGAGACTACTGCTAGAGCATAGAAAAATAACTTGGGAGTACAGTACAAATTGTGAGGAGGTAAGCCTGTTAGTTGCAAAAGATTATGTATTCTTCAGGCACATTCCTCTTTTCCTTTTTTTTAAATGGGTCCCTAAACCTGCTTCCCATTTTCATCGTGACTGATTCACATACAAGATCTTAACTCACAGATCTTCTGACGTTCTAAGCCCCAATAATCAGTAATTTTAGTGAAGTCATTCTTCACTGATAGATTTTCTAACATCGAAGTTCAGAGTCTAGCCTGACTTTCTCATCAAATGTTTGCTTTAATCCTTCTTATTGGTATTAATGTTTTTATTTGCTCTTACAGAGCCCTCGTTCGTTATCCATATTCTAAGGAACTGCCCAGTAGCTGTTAGTATTCCTGGAACAATAACAAGGATTCCAAGGGGCGTTGCAGAGATCACCTTCAGCACAAGATACGGAGTGACCACATAGTCATTCCAAATATACCCCCGAAAAGGCTTCAGACTGGTGTCTTTTAGATAGATTGGACTAAGACTTGAAATCTTAAACCATCTCTTATAGAGGACCTGGTCCATCATTATTCTATTATAAACTCTACCGGGAATAATTTGAAAACCACATTTCTCCACACTACGCCCTTATCTTCTTTTCACCTCAAAATCTGTACACAGGTACATACAAACAATTAGAAAGCCAAATGCTTCCCTTTCCAAATTCACTGTAAAAGAATGTTCTCTCGCTCCCATTCTGTGGTTTAAAAAATAGCTATCAAAATGGACAGACGAAAAGATAAATATAGATCTGATCCATCTACGTCTCTCTTAATACAATTTTCTTGACAATAGATAAAATTGTGATATATAGATATAGATACTCTGTGAAAAAATAGAAGGTGCCAGGAACTCTCATTAAGAATTGGCTGATACCTCTGAAATAGCATATCTTTTGTGGCATTAACAAACACTTATGGATAACCTCCCAAAAAATCACAATAAACTAGGGATGAAATTCTTGTCATCCAAATATATGAGTTCTAATAAACCCACTGACAAAGAGACACAGCCCTTTGCAGAGTCTCTATGATGCATTTGAAATAAAATGTGGAACTATAGAAATATATCATTTCCACTGTTTCCATAAAAAAAGCTTTTTTGGCTCCAGGAATTGAAGAGATTGAAAGATGGTGGATTTAATCACTGCTTTTTCCAGGATGACTCAAGAGCTGGAAGAAAACTGGAGAGGTATGTGTGATCAGGATCAATCCGTAATTAACATTTTCCACCATAATAGCTGATGCCTGACATTTCTTCAATGATGACAGAAACGAAACCATAAAAAGCAGTCAAAAATAGAGAGGGTTAAGACTTTCCCTTTGGCCTTTTTCTGTCATGACCTCTGATCGCCAGGAACTAAATTAAGGAAACCATTCTGCTACAAAAAAATTAGATTTTGAATTCAGTAAGCAGACTTCATTCGCAGGTCTCCGCGTTGACGAATCGGTGACTTTTGACCAATGGAGGAAAACGATTAAAACCTACCCAGCTATACTCTTGGTGTCAGATGGAGAAATTTTCTCCCAAAGAAATACCAGAAACATTCCTACTTCAGTGAATCAAAAAAAACCACAATCAACAGAGTTTAACTAAATGCAACTGATGCTGTTGCTTTTGCTGGTCAAACTGAAGATGGCTGACAGTTTATTCCTACTGTGTTGCCCAGCAAACACATCTCGTTATTTTTTTCCCTATGAAATCAAATCAAATACAATAATGACTTATCAGTATTCTTGGAAGAAACATGATCAACAGTGATTCCTCTTCTCTACTTTGTTCACTTGCAGTTGATGTGAGTAGCTATGACACTCCCACACCTAGCCATCCAAGATCAAAGCTGACCAAAATTCCTTATTACTGTATATCCTGCCAAAATAAAAATGGCTTGCATATCAACGTATTGTCCATACATAGACAAAACAAATAGGACTGGCACTGGTTTCTTTGTATACTCCTAAAATGAACCTGGCTGGCAGGATCTATTTCTCTAATAATAACTAAGCTAAAAGTGAGCCAGAAAAAAAAAAAGGTAGAGATGAAGTGAGATACTTGATTTATCTTGCAAAGTGGGTGAAGATTGGTAGGCAGCCTTCTTGACCTTGGACCACCAGATAAATTGTTATTAAAGGTGACTACCACCATAGGGGACAGAAAAGAAAGCCATATTGCCACAACAGTGTCAAGTAAGGGCAGCCTCTTGGAGAGGAGACCAAATAAAGCTTATATTCTCGTTGCCCTCACAGACATATTTGAGGGCTGCCTGAATTTTGCAACAAGAAGCAAGTGCAACACATCAAGTGCTTGATACTGGCAAAACACCATTTGGTTTCAAGGAAAAATTCTGGCAGATCAAAGATGAATGGATGAATCTGCTTGCTATGCCATTTTTCATTCTTCCAGCTGACGCTGCTTGAATCATCAAAGGATTCTTCCAGTTAACGAAGGGACACATAGCTGTCCAGCTGAAGTAGACCCAAGTGCTTGAAAAGAGACTCAAGCCAGTTCTTTGGCAGGAGTAGAGAATATGGTGATGCAGAGGAAAGATTATGGCTTCTGGGGACCAGGAGAAAGGACTACAGGAGTGGAGAGTCCATCAACACTGAGTGACGGGATGTGAACCTGTGAGCTAGAATTACTGGGAAACTGAAAAGAGAAAAAGGATCATTAGGATCTGCCTAATGATTGCGTAGCCTATGAAAAAAACAGTTTTGAAAGAGCATAATCTGAAGCGAGGGTGCTGAAATACTTCAGCTTCTCCCTTCCTTATTCCAAATCTCCACACATCCATACCACATACACAAACATTGGCTTTCCCACAAAAGCCATTCTTAAAAGTAAAAAAAGCAGTCACCTTGAAGACCTGGCTGTTCTCCCAGGTCTTAAGTTAGGATGACTGGAACCCCTTGTGAGTTTGGTTGTTGGCTAGATTTGACACCCTCCATTTTTCTTTTATCTACTTTCTTATCTCTTGCCAGCTGTTTTTTTAAAATAATATTTAAATTTTTGTGGTATTGCGAGCTGCCCAGAGTCATTTGTAATCGGGCAGTGCTTAAATTAAATTAAATTAAATTAATAATTAAATTAAATTAAATTAAATTAATCTTAATTCGGAAAAAAGTTAGAGCTATTGGGGGCTGAAACTAATATTTTGTAATCCCACTGTTGAACAGATTGTCAAGGTGTATTGTACATTACACCTTAAGGTCCACGCTTGAGTCAATTAAAAATAACATATAAAGAGGTCCATCGAGTTTATTTTAGGGTGCTCGAACACTCTTGAATTAAATTCCAATTGCATGGAAGCTGATATCTGGACAAAAAAAGTGGATTGCCTGTGTCTTACTTATAGCTGTAAGATTCATTAGCATTGGAAAGATAGCGCTCCAACTACTCAATTGATCAGCAAAACTGATGTCATAAGCAACTCACGAACACATCATTTCTTGGCCCAGATCAACTATGGGTGGTTATAATGAAATATGAGTATATTATACTGAATTGCTTATGTAAAATGTTTATATAGCTGTAGGTTTCTGGTAAGGTATGCCTTATACCAAAAACGTAGCCAAGCTCATTCCCAATCCAAAGTAATTCTTCATTCCATACTTGCGAACGAGGTCTGCAAACCTCCAAAACACATACAGCCTTGATGTGTCCCTTTTATGACCCAAGCTTGACTGTTCTTCCACACTCTCAGGAAATTATGATGTCAAATCCACCCACTATTAGTGATCCCAGTCTCATGTTTTACCTTCTCCTCACAGGCACCCTTTCTCTCCCACAGATGACATAGATTTCAAACCATACCTGGAAGGAAAGCTTGGCTGGGCTACGCGGTGCAATGGGGCTCAGGGTACTCCAGAAATGGATGGTGGGTGGCAAGGAACTCGGGGTGAGCAGTACTGGAGTCTGCAAAGAAGATCAGAATGAAACAACAAGAATTTTTAAAAAAAGAAAAGCAGCAACATCCCAATTCTTCAAAAGAGCCATTTATTTCATTGACCAATTTTTCCAAGTTTGGTTTTCAGGAAGAAAACAAGGAAAGAAATTGAAAGAGGAAGTTGGAACTCTTCCCTTGAGAATATTCTCATTTTTCCGCAGGTATTAAGTGACATTTTTCTTCGTTGCATACAGAGAAGCAACAGGGCTGTGGACAATCTTATAAGCTTTCTCCTTTGGTGTTTATCTGGCTATATGTATTTTTAAAATCATGGTTTATTATTGGAGAGACATACTTTTTTAATTATGCATTATTATTTGACAGACATAACCACCTGCAACACTCAGGCTTATCATTCGGCTGCAAGCTATTTTTGGAACTTGGCACACCATTTTTCCAATCGCCACCTTAGCAGATAAGGGATGCACAACAGTCAGTAGACACGAACTTTCAAAAGTCACCAATACTAAATGAAATTGGGATTTTCTAACCATAATGGCCATTTAACAAGCTTCTTCAGAAGCGTCTAGGTAAAAGTCTCAGTGAAAGGACATCCCCCATAGTTTCAGGCCATAAAACTATAAATTTTCACCTAGACTATTAGAGACTACTTTCTCATATCCAGAATTTCTCCCGATTTCTCTTGTGTCTGTTGTAGTAAGAAAAAAAAAACCAGTTGCTGGTATTCAGGGAGCAGAGCTACTGTATGGATACAGCTGTTATATATCGATGATGATGATGAAATCATCATCATCTTCTTCTTCTTCAAAGAAATTTTAAGCAATACATTCAAGTCAGGTTTGGATGCTGCAACTTGGAAAACACTCCCAAGTTCTATTCCAGCTTCAAACTTAGCGGAACCTGCTGTTAAACAAGAGAATGCCACACACATTTCATGCGTGCTGGCTTGCAAGAATGCCAAGCGTACACAGAAGAACATGAATATGTCTGGGGGTAAAAAAAAAAATGGGTTTTGGTTGCACATGTGGTACACTGGTTAAACTATTCCCAAACTTTCCTTTCAGTTAGCAGGTGGCCCGGATGAAATGCAGTAATTATCTTACTAAAATATATTGTGTGAACGCCTTGATTAGTGGCAGAGGTCAATACTTTTGTATTCATTTTATTTTCTAATTTATAAGTTCTTTAGACCAATGTAATCCTCTGAGCCTCTCAATGTAGTGTAACAGTCCACCCAGACTGGCCTGATAGGGTTTACTTGCGATACGTGGTCAATGGCACATAGAAGATTGCAACCTGGAAGGTAAGAGAAGTAAATAATAAAAAGTGTTATGAAATGAATGGGGAAAAAAAACCTGACACACTTCATGTATGAAACCAAGAGAAATGGGAAGGATGCAATAGATATGAATGAAGGTGATCTGATCTTGGGAACTGAAGTTGCTGCATACATGCAAGTATATGAAACTATAGGCTTAATTATGAACAAAATGGCTAAAGTGTAGGTCTGGAAGAATGAATGGATGCCCTTTAGACTATTTTGGGGATCTGTGAAACCACAAATTCACAGTATGAGAGAGACATTTTATCCTCCACTGATTTGGAAATCAAAAGAAAAGAATCAGGGATGAGTTTTGGGGGAATTGTGCAACATTCTGAATAGATGCAATGGGAGGGAATTATTCTGAGGGGGAAATGGATGGGTGGAGAGACAGAAATAAAACGAGGGTACAAAAATGTGATAGGGCTGTTAGAAGACCCAAGCATCTATAAGAAAGATAACTGATAAGTATCTGTTTAACAAGAAGTATGTATTATAACTATTATGGAAAAGGGATGAATCAAAAAGCCTGATGAAAGACTAAAATAGTGATCATTTTCAAGAGTAGATCTTGGGGAAAACATACACAGAAGGAAACAAAGCCAGTCAAACAACAACTGTAGGAAAAGTAAACGATATGAAAAAAAAATGCATGAAAAATATTAGCTTAGCCTCTGCACAAGGGGACATGATGAAAACTGCTTGGAAGAAAGAGGAAAAAAGTTGCATTACAAAGTGTATAGAAGGTAAAGTATGAAAAAAAAAATGCCTGGTGGAATTATGAACTGAAAGAGGCTGGGTAAGAGAAATTGCTCAGAGAATTAGTGTGACAAAAGTGGGGATGATATAAAGATATAGTATAACATGCAGAGAGAGTAAAAGACAATTGCATAAATTAAAAACTTGTTTTTTTTAAAAAAAACTGCCCAACTGACAGGCTGCACATGAGGTGGGACTGCACAGGATGGAGCCAAAGAAAACTGTCCCAACAGTTTTAGCCTCTAGAGCAGACATGTTAAACACAAGGCCCGGGGGCCGGATGTGGCCTGCGAAGTGGTTTCATGTGGCCCGCGAAGCCATCCTGGAAACAATGAGGGAACGGCCCCCACTGCCTTGGCCCTAGAGCCAATGTACAATTTTGTGGTGGCCATCTATGCTGAAACGCATTCAGTCTCCCTCTGACTTTGCCCTGGTACCCATCATGAACAACCTGGCTAAGCACAGCAAGCACAGCAGCAGCAGCCTTGAGGAGGAGGTAAGTGCAGCTGGGTGCCCCCTTGGGGAAGTGGGGCTGGGCTTGGTGCCACAGGTGCTCAAGAGCCAGGCTGGGCATTTGACTGCTGCCCAGGGCTCCAGGCAGCCTGCACCACCACCCAGCCCCCCCCCCACATGGCCTGAGAGGAACAGTGAGACTCCTCCAGTAGACCATGCCTTGGCACTTGCCCTGGTCCCACCTCCTTCTGCCAGAGACCCTCAGATCTGTCCCACTCCTGCCCAGGCCCCCACAGGCACCATTGGCATGAACAATGTAGAGCTGGCCATGCCCACCCAGTAGGCCACACCCACTCCCTTCACAACCACCCAGTAGGCCTCCCCCACCCTGGCCACACCCACCCAGCCCCCCAAGGGCAACTGCAATGCTGATGCGGCCCTCAATGAAATTGAGTTTGACATCCCTGATTTAGTGAATGTTTATCGATATGGGAAAATGGAGGGAAATTTTTTAAGATATGCCCATCCTGTTGGAAAAGTAATGGGAAAAATATGGTCAGCTGCAAGAGACAAATGTTTATGAAAAGACGTGAACATGGCTGCGTGCAAAAGCATGATCCTGCACACTCACACGGAGTGTTGGAAAATGTCAGAAGAAATACATTATTAGTATTTTGAATGCAGAGGAAATAAGATACATAAGAAGTGTGCAAGCATACAAAAAAAGGTATGGTTGGGAATGAACCAGTGATGAAAGGGCATATGAGGAATGTAAGTGTTAAAGAAGTACAATGTTAAAGAAGTACAATGAGGTGGTTCGGTCACATAGAGAGAATGAATCAGCTTTTTTTCATAGCGATGTTAATGTGCTTTCCTCCCATTCTTGAGTTGGAAGTATGTTGATATAATTCCTTCAAAGCCTACCTACAGTTTAATGTGAGGCTGCTTTAGGGCAACGACTGGTAGGTTCCCTGCTATCCTTCTCCACCCACCCAGTATTGTCTATCAATGGTAAAAACCAACCATCAATCACTTTTCTGAACATGTAGCACAGTAAGGTAGGACAGGCTATTCATTTTTATTATTTGTATTATTTCTGTATGTTGACTGAGTGCTTACCAGGGCAAGCTGAATCACCTGGGAAGTGGGCTTTTTCTCTTCTTAGGGGGGGATGGAATTCATGTGATGTTTTTTTAAAAAAGGTTTTTGCCATAGGAATAGCGCTCTCTTAATTTCTGAGAAGAGACCGATATTCTCATTGCAATTTCAACAGAAAAACACCTCTTCCTCAGATTGGCATGCCTCTCTAAGCAGTCAGGTAATTTAAACGACTAAGCCAAACTGGACATTATACGCCAAGCACTAGCCATGAAGTGGGTAGTAGACAGACAGTCATATGTATGGTGGCAATGATAGCAGAGACATCGCTCCTACTGTATTCAGCAGCCTTCCTTCTACTCCACATTCATGGAAAACATCCCATACTTGGCACTTGTTTACCTTCTCTTCCACTGTCTCTCAATAAATTTGGAATAGACTTTCTCATTTTCATACATTTATCAGTGATCTGCCCAACAGTGAAAATCTGACTCCTCATGTTTAAAGTGCATTCCTCCTAAATTAGCAAAGGGTATGTTGACAAAACTGCATTCTTGTGCCAGCGTGCTCTCAAAGCTGCATTTGGTGCTAGCAAATGGTGCTGTCCTTACAGTTTAATGTAGGACATTTTAAAGGCATCAATTGATCCATTCTCTGGTTTTGTCTTTCCTTCTATCCAGCATTACATACCTGAAGGGGGAAAAGCTACAGTTACATTTCTTAAGATGTGCATTGATTGTAACTAGAGTTCCCCAAATGGCAACTCACTGTTGCAGTGTAGATAACTTGTGAAGCTAATTCTGAACACATTTCTAGTGGTCTTCTAGAACAGGGGTCCCCAACCCTCGGTCTGTGGACCAGTACCGGGCCACAGCATGCCAGCAACTGATCCACACCAAACAAGGAAAGCCCCATCTGCAGGCTTGTGTAGCAGTCTTGTGTAGAGAAAGTTACAGTAGAGGAGGGGGGGCATTTTGAGAGGCAGGTGGGATTAAGAGAGATGTGTCCAAGGAGAGGGACCGGATCAAGAGGAAAGGGAAATCTGAGGGTGAGACGGAATTGATGAGGTTCTCCAAAAGAAAGAGATGAGAACAAAAGGCAATGTATGAATCAGGGCATGGATGTGGTGGAAGCAAAGATAGACAGTAAGGAAAGAACAGTACTAAGAGGTGCAATGAATAGATGGAGCAGTTTGGTGCAGTTGTTATTGGGGTAGAAAACAAGAGACTGTGAGTTTTAATCCTGCCTTAGACAAAAAAGCCAGTTGGGTGACCTTGGGCCACACTCAACTCTAGGAGGAAAGGCAAACCAACTCTGAAATCTTGCCAAGAAAACTGCAGGACTTGTCCAGGCAGTCACCAGGAGTCAACAATGATTCAAAGTCACCCCTGCCCCAAAAGCGAATAGTAAATTAGAATTAGTTATATGTTCTTTTCTTCTCTGTTATCTCTTGCCTTTAATCCCTTTTACTCATTACTTCATACTTGTTTTCTGTGCCTTAAATACCACTGCTAACCCCTCCCAACCCCAAGAAACATTGTGATAGGTCTGTCCGTCTTTCTGTCTAGTACTCCAAGGAAACAGTAAGCATCCCTTTCAAATTAGATACAACCGCAACAACAGCAAAAAAAAACCCCAGATCCTTTTAATTTTGAAAAGGGATCCCCAGTTGTATCCCTAGCTCATGGGAACCAATTAAAATCCAGTAAGACTTGCTGAAAAATATGGTCTCACCAGTGCGTGTGAGGAAATAACTGTGGTTGGCGTCAAGGTGCTTCCTGTCCCACCCGGCGCCAGGAGGCTGTTAACAGCTGCATTCACTTTCTCTTGAGTTGGTAATGAAGGAAGCTCCAAGACTTTAGGCTTCTTCCCTTTCTGGGGCTGTCCCTCAAGAGAAACAGACACCAGGCTGGAAGATTGTGCTTCCTTCTTCAGTAGCCTATCTCCATCTTGATGCAGCTCGGCCTCCCCGGATTCCTTCTCCAGAGAAGACTTCTCAGAAGGAGCTGTCTCTTCCTTCACTCCACCATCCATTAAAACCATCAGAGCAGCTGCTTCTTCATCAAGGTCAAGGTTCTCCTCCACTTTCACCAGCACCTTCTCATCAAGTGCAGGAGTCTCCAAAGGAATGGGCTCCACTATGACCTGGATGTGGGACAGAAAACAGAGGTGATGAAAGTGAAGCTACCAGGAGAAGATTTGGGAGATCAAAGAGAGTCTCCTAAACAAAGCAAAACCAGTTTTGATTTTGAAGTTAATTATTGTTTACAGGGGAAGTTCCAAAAATAAACTCTAGAGCCTCACTTAGCTCAAATGATTCATTTGGTACTGTAGAATATTTGTCTGGCACAGATCTACTTTTCTTCCAGAGTCCTCTGCTAATAACCAGTCCTATTGTAAAAGAATCAGTATTCACTTTTGGCCTACTGATCCGGGACTAATTTGTTTGCTGTATTTTCCTTAAAACTGAGCTTTCATCAAATGTATCTTGCAGGTGGGTCATACATTCTCTTTCCTTCAAAACACTGTCAGATTATTTCAAGATGGTCATGAAACGGAGGACCATCCTCTCCTGAGGCATTCGGAAACACATTGTCTCTACAAAACCATTTCCCCCAATCTGGTGTCCTTCATCTGTGTCAGAAATACAGTTCCTAAAATTCCAAGTCAGCAAAGTCACTGTCTATACAGGCTGGGGATTCTGAGAATTGCAGTTTCAATACATCTGGAGGGCACCGGGTTCAGAAAAAGCTTCTGTTAAAGAAAACTGGATCCCAGCAAAAAACTATTAGCAGGCTGGTTACAATTTTAATTAGAAGCTCTTTTGCTATGTCTACAAGTAACTAGGTTACCACATCAACCTAAAACACAATGTCAGTTTTACCTAAGTATGTTATATGAACCAATCGATTTCTAAAATCCTGATTTACATTACAGCATAATCTATGATGCTGTGACAGAAATGTGCTCAGTCAACAAACCAATTCTAAGCTCATAATTTAGCACAATATGAGAAGGTAGACATTGATTATATTCTAAAAGTTATTTTTTATCATCTAGCTCCTCTCTCTTCTAGGGCTTCTTCTAAACATGTTCTCCATTCCAAACCCACTTCATAGCTTTTTCTGGCTATGTATTATCCCAGCCATTACTCCACCTATGGCCATTTCTACATTGGCCAACCCTTTTCTCATAACTTTAGTTAACATGCTCCTTTTGGTGCAAAGAAACAGAAAAAGAAATAAAACAAGAGCCCCACTTTCTGACCCTTACTTGTTCATAAAGTTGTTTGAGAGTTATTGTTCATTCTGTACACGTGATACATAATTTAAACATAAAACAACTTTAGAAAAGCTCTTCTCAGTTTTTGCTCTTCATTTCCTTGTAGGTCTGTTTCCATCTCCTTTCAGCAACTGCTTTTATACTTACTTGTTTTATGTATTTATAGTTAAACTTATTTGCTTCGGTACTAATTTTATACACATACACACAAATGCGTACGTGTGAATTTTTGTAAAAATATAAATTAAAATCATATTTTGATAGTATTCTTTCTTAGGCTTGGATTTCCCATGATGGGTCCTGTTTTCCCTACATAGTATCTTCCTTTGCTTTTGATATTATAGTTTTATACTTGTATACCCTTTGTATATTGTACTGCTTTATTCTGGTCTTTTGTTTTGAACTTAAGAGAAAGCCTAGTCTAATTAAGCATTCTGCAGAGTGCTCAACGATAAATAGTAAAAAGGTTCTCAAGTAGAATACATGGACAACACTGTCAACTGGTAATTAGGACATGCAACTTTTGATTCTGGAGCTTTCTGTTTAAAAGGTATTTCCCCTTTTTAAAATATCTAGATTAAAAGGTCATGACCACAGCTGGTAGCTGCAAATTCCATATTTACCTAATGGATGGCCACAAATTTAATGACATGAAGCAGAAGAAAAACATCACATGATGTATCTAATACATTAAAACCAAGATGGAAAAATATTTTAAAATAGAGAAACTAGCTGCATTTTAAAACATTTTAACACATGATGACATTTAAAAAGTTTAACTGTCTCTTTAAAACAGCAGAAACACATTCAGAGTCCCTCTGTTTAAATGCCACTTAAGGCTCTTAAAATCCTTAAAATCTACAGAGCCTCTCTAAAATTCTCAACAAATAAAAACAATACTAATGGTAGGTGGATTAAAAAATGCCAAATCCAGTCTAAATTTATGGCTGACTGTGCAATGAACCATAGTAATTGAAAAAAACTTATATTTTTAAGAAAATAATAAGAAAATCAAAACTAATCTGTGAAGCACCACCTGGAATTGCAGAGGATATACAACAACTGAAACCACGTGTCCTGGCCATTACAGGGAAGATCAAGAACTAAGACAATTGGATATGAACATTCTAACAGATTTTTGCAGCTTAGAGCAAATCAGCATCACTTCTATAAAATCTTTGAAAACAAGAAAAGACCAACAAATAATGAAAAGCCTGACAAGAAGAGATCTTAAAATTTTAGAAAGGTTTGTGGGGAAAAAACAATACGAGTCACAGTAGGAATCCCACATAGATTAAGCAAGTTGAAATCACAGTGGAAGTACTTATATGGAAGACACTTCGATAACTGAGAAATGGTATGAAAGCCATCAGAGAAGATCAAAAACATCATCATAGATTCTGGCTAAAATCGCGGACAAATCTACCCTTGAGGTTGGGAGACCAAACGAATAAGGTTTTGGAAGCATCAGAAAACAAACAAACAAAAAATGGCCAACAACTAGAAATTTCTATTTCAGAGTGAGAAGGAAAAGGGAAATAAGCATGGAAACTATATACCCATGACCTGTTTGCCAACAACCTACAGGTTATTTAAGGGCATAAATGCAAATCAAATCTATAGTAATTTGAAAAAAAATGATTTACTTCCTGTAGAAAAAAAGGGTGCTCCAAAATTTGAGCAGAACAAAGGACCAGTTATTGATTGACATTGTTTTTAAAGAATTTGAAAAAGATCAAATATATTGGATAGACTTCAAAAGGCATTCAGTTCTCTTTCACATTAGCTGGATTGAGAGATGTCTCAAAATTTTTGGAATCAGCAGAAACATTCAGCAATTTATGAACAGATCAAAGAAGTTGAATGAAACTGATAGCTAACAGGGAAGAATTAGAAGATCAAACTTGAAATTTTCCAAGATGACTCATTATCACCTTTGCTTTTTCTACTATCAATGGTCCTACTGACAGCAATTTTAAACAAGACAGACTGTGAAAATGAATTGGCCAAAAAAGGAGGAAAAAAATCCTATTTATTTATAGATGGTTTTAAATTATTTTGAAAAACAAAGGCTAAACTTGATTCCTTATTAAAAAGCACAAAAGACTTCAGTAAAGATATTTGAATGCAATTTGGCATCCACAAGTGTGCAACCATAGTTATAAAGGCAGGAAAAACTGTTGAACGTGATGAATACAGCTTAACAATGATGCTCTGATAAAGGCAATAGCACCAGAAGGCTACAAATATTTGGGAATTTTGGAAGTGTCCAATTTATTACAGTATCAAGTCAAAGAAATGATCATGATGATATTATCCATTCTAACATCAAGTTCAAAGACTTTTGAAATCAAAACTAAATGGTGGAAATATCAAGAAAGCAATTAACACCTGTGCAGTATCTGTTGTTCACCACCTAGAAAGAATAGCTGACCGGACTCAGGTGGAACTTGATAATTTGGATTGGAAGACAAGAAAATTAATGACAAGATATCATGCTTTGTTCCCCAAAAGTGATATTTATTGACTATATTTTCCAAGAGCTAAAGGAGTAGAGAACTTCTATAGATGAAACAAACTATGGAGGACGAAAAGCACGGCCTGAATGATTAAATTAAGGAAAGCAAAGAAACTAGTTGAAGGCAGTCATTCAAGGAAAACTCTTGAAAACAACAAAAGTGAAGGCCGAACATAGATAAGTATGTAGAATTGAACAGTTTATTAATTGGAAAAACAAGTCAATGCATGGTCTATGTTTAAAGAATATAGAAGAAAAAGCTAATAAAAACCCCACATAAAGTTGGATAGGATCAGGGATGTTAAAGAAAAAAATTGAAAGCTTTATTTTAGTGGCTCTAAAACAAGTTTTGACCAGTAACTGCATGAAGGTAAAAATTCAACATGTAACAAACAGCAAATATCACCTTTGCAATAAAAAAGATGAAACAATTGACCATTTGATAAGTGGCTGCAGGAAAATTTCACAAACTAACTACAAGCACTATAACTCATGACCAAGTTGCCAGAATTATTGATTAGAAACTGTGCCAAAAGTCTGAATTTGAATGGAGTAAAAACTACAAGGACCATAGAAGTTGAGAAGGTTTTGGAAAATGAGAGGGTTAAGATGCTACAGGACTTTAAAATCCAAACAGACAGTCATCTTGTTTATTACATGCTTGTTTTAACAATTATTGAAAAAAATGAAAGTCTGATTTACTGATGTCGCTATTCTGGATGATGCTAGGATTGAGGAAAAACAATTGGGAAAAAATTATGAAATACTGCAACTTGCAATTTGAAATTGAACATCTATGGGAAAAGAAATCTGTTGTTATACCAATCATGATTGGAGCCCTTGGAGTGATACCTAAGGGACTCCCTTGATATCTGGAAACACTGAATTTATCAGACCTGAACCATTTTCCCTGGGACTGTCTATATTTTTAGATGTTATCTTAATAATTTTTAGGTTCATAATTAGGACTTGAATTATTAAGTTTCTACCAGTCTTAGCCTATGAATCTAACTGCAGATTACTCATACATAACATTTAATAATTGCATCTTGCCTAATCTTTCCAGACTCATGCAACTAATAGCAAGACACCAAAACCCAATAAATATCCATAATAAAGTAGGAAAATTAATCCATAACTGCAAATAATATCATAATAAGAGCAAAATAAAAACAATTGTAGTGTAAAGAACCTTCAGCTATACATGTCAAGCAATTACTCCCCAAAGCCACCTTGAAAAAATTTGATCTTCACTTACTTCCGAAGTACTATCACCAAGGGGGCCAGCCTAGTTTCTAGAGAGAAAGAGGGTCGTTTTAAAGCACTGGTACCATGATTGAGAAAT